GGGGGGGGGGGGGGGGGGGGATATGCAAACAGAGGCCAAAGGAAGAAGCCTCAAGACGGCTGCGCCACAACCGGAACTACCAATGCTGAACCGCTCCAAACGGACCGCGGAAGGGGCCAGTAGAGTGGTGTAGCAGGAGCCCACTCCCGAAGCAAATTAGATGCATTTTGTCATTTTTGCCCAGACATCGTGGGATCCCTCAACCCCTATATAAACCCTACCTAAACCCCTATATAAACCCTAAAGCGAAGAAGCATGAACAACAAACGAAGAGTCGACTGCTGCACCTGCGGGGCTGGAAGACTGGGATGCACAGGCTCCTCGGGGCTGCCGACATGGAGATGCAACAATCAAAAAGGCTTTAGGATTTAGGGTCAAAAACTTAAGGCTTTAATTACAATTCTACCCTGACAAGATCCTCAATGAGAGTCATTCTGCAGAGACAAACCAAAAAAAGTAAATCGCTAATGTTGTTGAAGAGGTCCCCAAAGACAGTCTGCAACGCTAATTACCCAGTGTGAGGCGCTGACGAGGCCTAAGCATACTCAGTGTAGTCACAGAGATGTCAGGGCCGTAGTCACGGCAGTATGTCAAGGCTGAAAAAGGGCACTGCAACGCACCGGTGAAGGAAATGCCAACCAAGTGATGTGTCTCGGAATTTTCAAAAAGCCTTTACTCGCTTTGAGCTTGGGTTTCAAGAAATTGCACATGCTGTCCCACCTCTTGATCTACCCCCCGCTTCATAACCTAAACCCCTTAGCTTCGGCTTTATTTGTGCCAAGCGCTTGGTAGTAAGCAGCAGGTACTTTTCGGATCTAGCGGCCCGTCTTGCCAGAAAGTGATTCAAACAGACATGGGTAGTTCTCGAAATCAAACCCCCCTTTTTAAGGTCCCAAACATGGGACAGCACTTGAGGACCCTAAAACAGGACCCTAAATTTGCTAACTGCGTCCATGATGACAGGCGCATGTGTTTGCATGTCCCACCCAGCAGAACCGTAAACCCCCAACCTTAACCAAGACTCACATGTTCGACCTTGAACTGTAAGCCATGAACCACATACCCAAATGCTAGAACTTGAGCCCTGAACCCCTAAACCCTAAACCCCTAAACCCCCTGAAGCTTTACTGTCAGTCCCAAGTTTTTTCATCCATGCATCTGCCCACAGCTACTTCTAGGCGCTAAACCTAAACCCCAACTCTAAACCCTGAGCCTTAACGCTAAACCTGGAACCCCAAACCCTAAACCTTCAACACTAAACCCGGAACCTTAAACCCGAAACCTTAACCCTAAACCTTCAACACTAAACCCGGAACCTTAAACCCGAAACCTGAAACCCTAAACCCCACCAACCCCAAACCCCAAACCTTAAAGGCCCTAAACCTTCAGCCCTAAACCCGGAACCGTAAACCCTAAACTCCAGGAGCCCTAAACCCTAAACCTTCAAAACCCCTAACCCACCAAGCCTAAACCCGGAACCCCGGGAGCCCTAAACCCTAAACCTTAAAACCCCTAAACCACAAAGCCTATAAACCCTGAAAGAGCAGTCCAGGAGAGGTGGCACCGAAGTCTGGTTGCGGCTCAACTACGGCCTGACACGGGAGCTGATCTTTTGGTGTTTAGGGGTTTGGGGCTTAAGGGTTAGGGGTTTAGGGTTTAAGGGGTCCAGGGTTTAGGGGTTGGGGCTCAAGGGTTTAAAGGTTTAGGGGTTTAGGCTTAAGGTTTTTTGAGGTGGAGCGACCCTTCTCCCAGCAGCATCCGAAGTCCAGCGCCAACTCAATCGAGACTGCACTGCAAGCAGGCATGAAGCATTAGGCAACATGCCAAGTAAGCAACCCGCCCAGCACGAAGCAATAGGAAGTACGAAGCAGCGACAGCAACACCACACCTGCTCACAGTCCAAGCAGACTCACAGGCCCCTACCCTGCGAAGATAACTCCGGAGCATCACGGCTCCGACTTCGATCACCAGCACCACGAGGGCGACCACCACGAGGAACAGAGTGAACATCACAACGAGTCGGGCGCCAAAGTTTCCGACAATCCGGGACGGAATCACGGTCACGGGGTAGAGGATCATGAGGATCACCTCCAAGGAGTCCAGGACCACTGGGTAGGGCAGCACGAAGGCCACCCTCAGAGAGTCCAGGACCATTCCCAGCATCCAAGGAGCCCGCGAAGATTCACCATCTCAAGGAGAACCTTCGTCCCAGGTGGTAGAAGACGAGGTGGCGGACGATTGGCTTGTAGTCGGCGTCTGCTGGCAAAATCGAAATGCTGACGTTGACGATACGGGCTTCAACATGTACTTTTCTCAAGTGGTGTACAATCATCTTCAGGGTTTAGGGTTCAGGGCTGACGCAGGAGCTGATAGATAGATATATATATATATGAGAGAGAGAGAGGCTCCTCTAGGGTCTATTTCACGCCCTATTTGTTGCCTATAAAATTAATAAGAATATAAATAATTGAAATAATTGAAATTGGCAGGGCCGATTCCATTCACAAAATTATTCCAATTCACAGGGCCACCATGTGAATTGAAATAATTTTGCGAATTCAACTCGGTGGGTTTTTTTGCCATGCCACCAATCCCACCGATTTGAATTCACAAAATAATTGAAATAATTGAAATAATTCAAGTCCGGCCGA